GCCACAGCTGTTGAAGGGAGAAACCAGCGCAGTAATGTTTATTTCTATATGGGCTCAAAGCTGCGTCCAGTTGTAACACCTCTCAGAATCATTTTTTGACATGTCAGAAACATTGTCATCCAGATTTGTACAAACTGCTTTTTCTTTTCTGTAAAGAGTGTTTGGGGGCCAGTTAGCCATTATTTGACAGATTAAGTGGGACATGATATGTGGGGAAGAAGAGTGGGGGATGCCATCCATCAAAAAGCATTAGTAGTGGGGATTCAAAACTGGGACCAGTGAGATGAGGACCTGCTCTACCAGCTGAACTATACCAGCGCCCCAGAGGGAAGGCACATTTTCAGGTATTGCTCAATTGTATACTCATAACATGAATTAAGAGTTTCAGGTTGGCCGGTGTTGCACAGTCCAGATTTGAAGGCCCCTGGGGAAAATTATAATTTGTGATTTCGTGCTACATATATTAATTTTTTTTTTTTTTACCCAAGCGAAATACTTCATAGCGTTATGTTTTTAAATATTGAATGGACTATGTAATAATACAAGTCAGGTAATAAAATGTCACAGCATGTTGTATTATTTTCATTCCTTGGGGATATTCATCATTCTTTATTCTTTAGAGAGGTACACAGTAGTCCTCAATGTGTGTGGCACTGCATTATTTTAAAATCTAAATAAATTGCTCCTACTTACTGTTCCAGCCCAACACAGGGGGAGAACCACTTTAGCTTGGCAAAAAAAACAAATAGTGCCCAGCAACAAACACAGCAACATATAAATAAACACACACAAACACACTGATATTACATTATTCATAGCACTGCAGAGAGCTCTTACACAGCGCCCAACAAACACACAGAACACGACCTGCTGTAATACACTGAGTGTTGACAACATCAGCAAGATTGTCTTACACAGAGAGAGACAGAGTGAGTGAGATAGGGAGAAGGAAAGAGAGAGGGAGAGGGAGACTAAATGCATGTGTGTGCTAATCACTTAGGTAGAGCAAGATGTTAACATACGTTAACACTGAGGAGGGCACTTATTGAAATTGTGTGTGTGTGTGTGTGTGTGTGTCAGTGTGTGTGTTTGTGTGTGTGTAGCTGGAAGGAAGAGGCTGCCAAGGAAGGGAAGGCGCCTATAATTCTTTATACGGTTATTAAATGACAGTACACCGTGTTACAAGCACCCACATTAGTATAACATGGAAGAAGACAATAATTTACAATAGGACTTTTTTAAAGTCAGCACCACACAACAACCTCTCGAGTGTAGACTATAAACAACATATTGGCGTAACAGCCTAAAGAACAATGCTCATCTCCACCTCTAAGGTACCAAGACGAAAAAAAGAAGAAAAAAAACCTAATGGAGATAAATTGTGTAAGGTGACTTGAAGAAGAAAACCTTATTTCTCTGCCCTCCTCAGCTCTCTCCCTTTCTCTCTCAGCCTCTGCCTTCTACACCTTTAGAGTAAATCATCAACACAAGAAGCTTCATCAATAAAGAGCATGAACATATCATATGCCACAAAAAGACATCAGTTAAATATAAAACAGTAAAAAATTACAGAATTTAAGAAAAAACCTTAATAAGCATTTCTTTCTTGGGAATCTAGTTCTCCTGTTCATACTGCCAAATCCTCGCGCATCATGTTTGATATATCTTAAAAACGGTCTTAAATCCTTTGTCTTTGGATTGTCAGTGTGTAAATCAATGAAATGTTCTTTGTAAACGTGAGCTTACCAAGAACTTCTTTACTGTAATCCAAACTAAATGTGCCTTACTTGAATACCTCTAAGTAATTATTTGTGATTTCCCACGAAGTATAGTAGTTGAGTTTGTGATGCTCAAAGTTGATTAATGCTTTAACAGACAATGCTGTTTTTGTAGCAAAGATGAAATCAATCAATTAACAGATGGACCCCAGAATCTTTATTGATTTTGTTTGTCCCCCCTCTGCATGTCTCACAGACATTTGTAATCTAATTGATTTGTGCAAAACTTTAAAAGCAGATGTGTCTAAGTCACCTGGATTGCTGGCATAGTGCAGGTTTCTGCATGATAGACAGAACTCAGTAAGTGAGAAATACATGCTAAATTGAATAGGTCCATGTGGAGGAGCACGGCAGTCGAAATCCGGGTTAAAGGTTTTTGTTAGCTGCTATTTGATGAACTTCAGCGTTTCTGTAGTACTTTGATGCTCCAAACTTCATCTAATACACGGATGAAGGAGAAAAGTATCATTGTGACCAAAAGCTCTGGGTGGTGAATAGGTCTTTTATTCCTGTCTCACTGAAGCCCTTCTTTCAGGATAAATAATGTCTTCAAGTGAGAAGTGTTTGTCACATATCTGAAGTTGGATTGGAGTTATGGGCAATCTGAGGACAATGGTTACATGCTACAGTGACTATTTGGAGAGCTCATGCCACAACAGATCATTTAACTATAAAGTTTAGACATTTTGCAGTGCTCTTGTTCCCTCTTGAGTTTCAAAAACATTACATTTGTGCTGCTGGTTGTCCACTGGTTAGTTCATGTGCCCCAGGTACAGAGGAAGTAGTTCTCAAAGCGGGCGGCCTGGGCTCAAATTCTACCTGCAGCACTTTACCCGCATGTCATTTCTCACTTTCTCTCCCGACTCTATACACTTTCCTGTCCCTCCAATAAAGGCATACAAGCCTAAGAAATAAAACATTACATTTTATGTAATAATAAATGAGCAGCCAGGGAGGGTTCAAGGTTGACAAAGGTCTGAGCTGTGGTTATTGATGGTATTTTATTAAGAAAACACAGATAATTCAAACCTGACATCCATTCCAGCCTAGTCAAGCAGCCATAGCATTTAAAAGAGCAGGTGATGTAAACTGGGAATTGAAGCATTAGCTTGGCAAGCCACCGCAGTCTTTCTCCCTCGATGCCCCAGGCGCTCCAGTGGTACCTTGTGCGGAGCATTTTAATAACAACGCTTGTTTGAATCCTGGAACAATGAGCAGGGGCTGCATTTCAGGGCTGACATTGCAGTAAAATGCCATCACATTGCCCAAAGGGCTGAACTTAACCCAACTGTGAAATCTGCTTCTTACAGAAAGAGAGAGACAGAGAGAGAGAGAGAGAGATAGGTACAAAGAGCTAAGGAGGGATGGGAGGGATGCAAATTATTATAGCATATGTACATTGGTTAATAAGAACGCTGATGTATGACGACCGGGATGTTTTTCCTGTGTTGGATATAACATGAAGAAAACAGAAAGCTCATGTTATTGGTTAAAGTTAAATTGCTAAATATGAAAATTAAACACAGTAGCATGCTGTCAGAGTACAGAGCATATTCATATTTCCCAAATGTTTATCAAATAACCTCTTTTGTTAACTTCCTACATAATTGGATGCAAAATACCCTATCATCTGAATAAAGAGCAAGCCTCAAACAATACCTGTCTCCCACATTTCTGAAAATGGGGAAAAAAACAATAAAGAGACAGGCATGAAGTAGCCACTTTGGTCATTTTACAGTCCCGCTCTAATCACAGCTGAAGTTTAACCCCTGGCCTGTTGATTGCAATGCAGCTGTGAGTGCAGCTGGGAAACCTCGCAGACCAATGTCACAAGATGAATTGTAATCAGCTCTATAAGGACATCTGGTTCTGAATGGTGGCAAAAAAAAGCAGTTTGGAATCGTTTTTCAGAAGAGCACCAAGCGAAGCTGTGTTTGTAATAGTGTTAGATTGATTGATCATTTTTGAGAGGGAACCAAAAGTGCACTCAGCCATCTAATTTGCTTCAATATTTCCATCTTTTGTTCATCATCCTAGTTTGGTTAAAGCAAAATAAGAGTACATTCTCTCTGTTTTAATCTAATCAAAAATCAAATCAAATTCAGCCAGATATAGATAAGACAGGGTTTGTGTCCACCTTGGATATTTCTTTAATTACCAATGCCTTTATCATTTTATACCATATATATTGTATCTTAATTTGTCAGGATAAAGTCATATGGCTATATTGTTTATTACAATGTTCTTTTTACATTTCTCTCTACATTAATTTGATGAAAGAATAGTTAGATTCTAAGTTTCTTATTTCCAAGTACCTTTGAACACATTGTAGATTGTATATTTACTGCAGACCACAGACAAGTGAACCTTTTTATCTGGCATCAGGCCTTTTCATTGGTTGAAAATAAATTGCATTGGATCTCCAAAGAGGTATGTTTTTTATTCACTACTATGGCACCCCTATTGAGTGTTTCTACCAGCGATAACCCATAGGAGAAGATCAAACCGAGGACCGAACTACCTCAGCCAAGATTTTCCTGATGCACCAAGGTAGACCCTGGGACAGCGGGTGGTAGATCGGATCACATACACACAAACACTATCTCTGTCACATCAATATACACTCACAAAACACTTCAATTGACAATTATTCTGAAGTATTGACCTGAACTTGGGACTAAACCAAGCCAAATGCTTCTTTTTATGAAAAATCACCTCCCCTTGTGCATTGCATAAACACACATTGAGTGTTTGGTTTTGTTAAATGTTGATGGGAATTTTAAGACAAAATGCAACCATCCAATCTAGCAACTGTGATCTCTTTCTTAACATTTTTATTTTACTTGTTCCCATCCCTGCACATCAATTTTTGCCCAGTCCTACACATAGCCTTTAGTTCCTGTCTCCTGCTTACTACCTTCTTCCTGGTGATCCTGTTCTACTCCCTCTTCCCTTCGTCCAACCTGATCTCACTTCTTATCAGCCCTGCATTTACCTGACTTTCCCCAGTTACCTGTCTCAACCTTTCAAATCAGCCTCCTTATTTCCTGAGTTTCATTACCAGTTTGTCCTACTAGCATGTTCTTTGAAACTGTCTTGCATTGTGCTCTACACTTGCAGATGTTTGTCACCCAAACTGGTACTAGCTTGCCTGCCTCCTTCTAACCTGCTGCATTTATGGACAGAAGCCAAAACGAAAAACAGAAAAGTTGGTAAACTCACCACTACATGATCCATCAATCTCCTCATATCCAACGCTGCAGACACATTTTCCCAGGGGAACCAACCAGTCTCCATCAGCTCCACAGAACAGTTTTGGTGTGTCTCTTTCTTCAGCATGGTCGATACACGCCCCCCTTACCTCTACCAATGAGGAAGAGTCAACACGAGGAACTGTGTCTGGAAACGAGGCCAGGTTCCTCAATGTGAATGGACATTTCTTATAGTAAACCCTCACTGAAACCAAGGCAATGCAGGCACCGATGTCCTGGAATGCCAAATAGAAGCCCTTCCTGGTCATGGGCCCCACCTCTCGCACCTCGGTGTTGAGCTTGAGGATACGATCTCCCAGATCCATCTGGGTGAAGCTCTCATCTGCAGCAATAGTGTCAATCTTTGTGTACTGGGCAGGCTTAAATTTGACACCATGAGCCTCATCAATCTCATGGTAGAAGAGGTTAAAGGTCTCCTTACAGGTGCCAGACACCCAAGGAATGGAGTTGCAGTCTCGCAGGGTGAAGCGAAGCTCCACATAGATCTTCTGGGCTGCTTGTCGAGATATCCAGTTGGAACGAAGCCAGTTGTTCTGGTTGGGCTCCATCACATTGCAAACCTGGAAAGTATGGATGGGCCGGTTGTGCTCATCCATTTCGGTGATGGCGTCCCACTAGGGGGAATCAAAAGAGAAAAGACCGCTATTAAATTGTGAGTCTTAAAGGCATCAGTCTTCAATGCAATGGATTTGGACAGAATGAAGAATACTCTAGGCTTGAATCCAAATTGTATCCTGATTGTTGCGTCTAAGTGTAGGCTATGATTTAATTGAAATCCTACTGGTTGATCATTTTCACAGCAAAACAAAAATAAAATAAAACATTCAAATCTCTCTGACAGATGGCTTTCATGTAAAGATTATATATTGGCCAGGAGAGTGATGCTTAAGGGAGAAGATGTGACAGCATCACTTTTTCAAAACATGTTCATGCTCAAGTAACAAAGCCCCCTAGTGGTCTAAGTAATTATGACAAGAGGAAGAGAGGGAGTCCGTTAAGCCTTTTGGAAAACAAAAGGATGTAGGATGAAGCACAGGGTGGATGGATGGGTCAGCAAAGCATTGGACTGTATAGCGAAAAGGACTGCTTTAAGACATGCTGTATTCTGAATATTGTATGTGTTGATGTAACCATCAGGTCCTCTCATGTTTTTTTAACCTTAACCCTAAATCCTTAGGGGAATGTAAATACAGCATCAGCCTGTCAATAAATCCTTTAACAGATATAATAATGTATTTTTTACTTGGAAAACCACACTTTTATGAATGAATGGTAAAATTTGGATCAAACTAGGTTCAAACTGTTCTCTCAAGACTGGCAGTAAAAAATCTCTTTCCTTCAGGCCTTTTCTCTTGGTCTTTTCTCCAATCTTTTTCTACTACTCCTACTCCTTAAGGTTTAGCTGATGATGTCTTACTCAGGCTGCTGAGTCATCGGGCCCTCAAACTCCCAAGTCACATGATCAGGGCGAATGGCAGCTTTGCTGGGTCATGAGGTTACCTGTCCCAATGTTGATGGGAGAGAAGTTAATGGAGGTTTTTAGCCTCGTGGTCTTGCACAGCTCTCTGGTTTTATTAGAGTGGGGACTGGCTACATGGGCGACCCCAAAACCAGCCAGCATCGACCTCCAAGAATCAAATTACCTGCCTGGGAAAAAGGGCTCTCAAATCACTTTGCTTACAATGCAGCATAAGACCCTCAACAAGCTGCAGAGTTTGCCTTTGTGTGTGTGTGTGTGTGTGTATGTGTGTGTGTGTGCTTTAGTTTTTGACTGGTTTCAGCCATGTCACTTGTACTTTAGATTGGGGTATGATTAAACTGTTGCAACCTTTACAAATTGTATATAATTTAATAGAATTTGAATTTAAATACCTTGCATGAAAAAACAAAAAACATGGTGCCTGAAAATGTAAGCCAAAAAATAAAAGCATATGATCGCAATATAAAAGTCCATTAGTATTACCCTGTCTTTTAATTTGGACAACACAATTCCAAACCCACCCTGGGACTCGCGTGTAAAAGTAATAAAAACCCAACACTGTCTCCTTGTATGAACCAAACTCTCTAATCAACATTGTTTTCACACAGACAAAGCATGCCATGCAGGTTAGGAAAGGCCCAAAGCATAAAGCTATTAATTAAAAATTAACACATTCATATGATTCTCATTCTGTGTTTAAAAGTGAACCGACTTCATCAAATACACTCACAAAGGCACACACACACACATACACACACTTTAATTCCCCATCCTCGAGGTCTGGGAGGAGACATTCTCATTCTAATTAATGGCTGGAAAACAACTGCTTTATAGGCAAACACAGTCCACTGTTGTGATTGAGCCGATGGTTAATTTACCAATACTATTTGCCTGATAAGCTCGCCCATTTAATAAGCTGTTTTGCACTTAGCTTAATATTACCTCTTGATGAGAGTAGTAATCAAAGCCTAATGTTTGCACTCACATACTCATTATCCTTTTTTAATAACATGTTCTAATTCAATCATCCAAAGACGACAGGCTTTAATCTGCTTTTCCCTCAAGGTGTAATTGTAGCATTACAGTCCAACAAATTGATTTTGATTCGATGTGATATTGCCCATAAAATGAATTCTGCTGGGATAGGTAGATGACTCCTGTACATTCATAGTAAAAATCTTTTTTTTTTTTCTTTTTTTTTTTAAAGTAGGTCATGATTATCGCAGTGGAAAAAAAAATCTAGAACTATAGTGACTCTGTCCAAATGTTAAACAATCTGCTACCAGCACCTCTAAATATCCCGATCAAAATGTTTTAACCCATGAAAAAAATGCATGGTAAAATTCACAATAAAAGCATATGTCTGAAACAGTTAAATTAGTCCTCTAATACAAACTATAAACATAAAGAAGTGCAGTGTGAAGTATTTGATTAGCAGGTCATAAAACACCTGACTTCGTTTTTTGACCAGTAAGAAAAGCTCAGCAAGACCAGGGATGTTATGAGTTTGAGAAATATAAGAGGCATCACACTAATCTTTGGTATATCCATGTTCAGAGCTTCTAATCAAACACAAAAAACAGTCCCTTAACGAGTGCATACAACAAATGTTGCAGCAAGATTAATATCATGATATAATGAATAAAATGGGATTAACAGACACTAGTCATGAATGAAAACAAGCCTTACAAACCATTGTAACTTGGTAAGCCTTGAATTCAAATAAATAAATGCATAACAAAATCGTAAGTTAGGACAAAAAACATGGAACACACCAGAGATGGGGATTTGAGTGAGACTCAGACTTGAGTCATTCTTAAGTCGCACACTAATGTGACTCCAGACTCGACTTGGACTCGTGGTTCAGGACGCTGTTGTATTTACATACAGGCATGAGGCGGTCACCCAGGTTTCCTCATTCGGTTGAGGCGCTGCCTCAAACCCCAAATGTTTTGAAGAAGCCCCATATACGTATGATGATAAAAAGAGCATGAGCAACTTCTCCGCATTCCCCCGCTTCACCCCCTCTCCCCCTGTCTAACTCGGCCACTTGCTGAAACACACCGTCCTTGAGACCTACTGGACTAGACCTCAGAGACTTGTGCCCATCTCTGGAACACACAAGGGCAATGGTATAGGACTCATGCAACTATTACAAGCAACAACAACAATATATTGTTACTTTTCGCCAAATAAGTGTTTACAGATTTTATGCTGAAGTAGCTAACTTTACAGATCTGCCATCTGCCTAACCGTCATCCACATTCTTAACCAAATACTAACTTTAATAATCCTTTATAAAAATGTACTCTCTTATTTTCTTTCTTCACAGCTTTGCATATTCTGACTGATCTAATTTTTGCTGGCTTTCTTTACACAGATGCTCAACATGGTCAGGCAATTGAACGTGTACAAGTGTAAAAAGGAGCAGATTCTATGCCCCCTTCAGGCCTTTTCAATTTGCACACTTAGTACCCTGTTGACCTGCTGAGGTGTCTGTAGGAGTGAACATGCATGAGCACCCTTGAGCTCAAAGGAATATTTCTTTTAACTATTATAAGCTCTGAGGCTGGGGAGAGGTGCTGCAGAAACAGATATTTTTCCATAGTAAAAAGGGAAATGGAGCTGACACTTTCACATTAAAAAGAGGTGACTGGTTTAAAAGGTTGTCCAAGCATGTCTTAATTGGGGGTCCAAATTAACATGTTGCCGTGCAGGGTGGTTGCATATATCAATGCCTTCATGCTCAGGGCTAAAACAATAAGAAAATGTGTGTAGTGAGTAACTGTAAAGCACTGAACAAATCCATGTGAATGTACGTACTGTATGAGAACTGAACCAACTGAAACACCTGCACACACAAACACAGATGAAGGTCAGGCAATGCCCTCAGCGTCTCTACCAAGGAGACTTTTTATAGTGCATTAAAGGATTTGAGATCTAATGCATTAGAATAAAACTGAAAATATCCGTCTTGCATTCTTTATAGCAAAGTCATGTGTGAGAGATGTGGGAGACAGAGAGACACAAGATAGATAGAAAGAGACAAAGAGGAGATGGAAAATAGAATATGTTAAGTATCTATTGGGGGTGCTCTTGAGAAAAAGTATTCTATCATTAAATACAAGGGAATTACTTCCGCTAGGGAGCAATGAAATGTGTTAAAATGCCATTGTAGATAAACTGTGGCCAGAGACAAAGGGGTAGAGGCAGAGGTATCAGTGTGATTTGTCCCAAAGCAGGAAAACAATCCATCGTGATAGGAACACATTGCTGCTCGAATCCCCATCTCAACACCATTCACAGCTGATCTAAAGGCCTCCGAGACTTCCACATCTTGTCAGCTGGCTGATATTGTCAAGCAGCCCTGTGGTGGCAACGCTTTAAATTAAGTCATTCTGCAGCTTGGCATTTGCAAGAGCTGGGAATTAAGTTTGTCTTAATTGTTTCACAAGCAATGACATTAATGTCCTCTTAGCTCAATTCAATTTAAAAAGAAAGTTCATTGACAGTATGACACCAAAGCCTCTTTGAAATCACCAACCTGACAGGGCGGAAGTCACCTGAGAATATGTGTGTGGCATATTTGTTATCTGGATGTGATCTAACTTCTTTCTCAAAGTGCAAAACTTTCATTGAAGACTTCCCCTGGCCACCTCACCACCTTCCCGTCAAGCTTTAATATGCATAATTGAAAAACGGTCAGAAAAGAGTTTGATTGATTGCAGCCTGAGACCAAGGCCCTTATAGCCCATCTCTCTCTTTCTCATGAAAGGGAGCCAGTCATTTCACTGGACACTCGCCCAGAGGTTGAGCTCCTTTTATTAAAACTGTGAAAACCAGAGCCTTACTGAGAACGGGACCTTTAACTACAGTGTCGTAACTTGCACCACTCGTCCTCAATCGGAATGAAACATTTAGCGATCCTAGATGGTCGCGCCACTTTGTTAGGTTTGAGGTTGTATAAAATAATTAAACCCAAGTCTATGTCCCTTTGTGTGAATGAAGGTGTGTTATGACCTTCTATCAAATAATTACTTTTACAATTACTGACAGAAACCAGTGGGACAGGTTAAGCATCGCAGCTGTCAAAGGTTTCTATCAAACTGACAGAAGATGTGTTTAAATCATTAA